TTATGTGTTGCCTTAATATCAATTTTAAAAAAGCAGAAAAAAATACGAATACATAATTATGATCCAGTAAATATAAAATAAAGTTTTGACTAACATTGTATTGTTTTAAACTAATCATTTTACATTTTAGATAGTGTTTCGAATGTTATCTATACAAATTAAATGAAAGGACAAATGTATGGAGTCAAACATAGCTTTTAGTAAATTAAAGATGCTATCAAACGGCCGCATTTCATGATGACAATGTCCAGGGGTTAATGACCTGCCCCAAACATAATTTAAATAAATTTATTATATGTTAAATTTATTAATATGTATCAAAACTAGTAGATATATTAAGTTTTCTTTTTATTTGATTTAGGTTTTCCATTTTAACCAGTTTTTAAGTATACTATTAATTGGTCAAATTAAATTTGAAATCCAAAAAATTTAAACCTCGACAATAAAAATATATTATTTATTAATTGTGAATAAATGTTTGTTGTTACTTAAAATTTTCTCTAATTAATTAAATAGATTAACGAATATAAAGTAATAAAACGATTGAAGTAAAACTAACTGTATGAAATTTAATACTTTGACTATCCAAGAGAAAACTATCACGTATAAAGTTAGTTGATGTATGTGATCACGCTTCAAAGACCTTCGGAGACCCGCATCACGAGTGAAAACTTGATTTTAGATATCAATTACTGTATCGATGGATGTGTGATTAGGAAACAGTAACAATTTAGATTTATTAAAATAATACTAGCGTTGGGTACATTTCAAAAACTGAAATCACCAATAGATGGCGCTTATAACAATTTTTTTTTAATTTAAAAACAGGTGATGTTTTGCCTGTAATGGAAAAGTTGTTTTTGGCATTTTATAGTTATTTTTGTCGCTGTGTGCGATCCATATTTTTTTTATCAATCGTATTTATCTCGTTATAATGGAAGTTAACAGGTTGTAAGCGGCTACTGTTGTGACAGACGGACAAATAAACATTAAGCGAGCGTGTTCCAGATAGTGTATGTTTGTCTATCCCCGGCATGAATGGCTCTTATATCTCGGAAAGTCGGCAGATAGAAATGGATATGGTTCCAGTTTAGATAAACATCTCGTTTCCTAGTAACACTATTAGGTACATTAAACAGCGAAAAGGGCTGAATGTACAAAAAATCATTAACTAACAAAAAATTACGTAGATATTTATTTATTAATGTATTATGATTAAAAACTACTCTCTATTCAAAAGGTAAAAGATATGAGATTATTTTAATTCAGAACAAAAAATTAAACTCCAATTTTTTAGCATTTCAAATGGCACTGAAAACAAGACAATTAATCTTGCTAATGGATTTGATGCTTAGATAACCGTCAGAAGTTCTTTACTGTCATTTTATATCTCTAACACAAAGGTAGACTCCATAATTATAGTCAAGTACAATCATATGCTCTTTTTTACGAATTACGTACTTTTGAACTGCGGAGTAAAAAGCCGCGAGTCGAATCTTAGAAGTAATTCGTAACGTTTAATTAATCGAGCAACTAGAATTGATTTGATAACAAAAAATAGTTTAGAAACGAGACAACATAAAGCTTTTTTGTCTTAGTTTTATTATAAGACGATAACGGTTGCTGAAATGTAACCGAAACGTCGGGAGTATATAGTTTTTACTACATAAAGTCCCGTAGTATATCCGAAAAATATTAGTTATATTTAAATGATTACTTGCGAAAATCTGAGAGCTAATTTGGTACGTAATACTTTTTTAGTATTTTACATAAAATACAATTTGTATACTTAAAAGCCAGTTTTAAAGGTGATTTTTATTTTTTGTATGCGCGTGGATGTCAGGTGCTGACTTGGCCGCGACAGGTGATGTAGGGAGCATTTTCTCCGTAATTACACTTCTAATTTATCTTTTGTAAGAGATTTAAATCGCGCAGCTGTAAGGTTTGCGTTTTTATAAGCATTTTAGTTTGAACATTTTAAACGTCTGCTTTTAATTACATTACGAATATGGCTGTTACTTATAAATTTATATTTTATATATAAAATTCTCGTGTCGCGGTTAGACAAAGAACTCCTCCGAAACGGCTGTACCGATTTTGATGAAATTTTGTGAGGATAATGAGTAGGTCTGAGAATCGGCCAACATCTATTTTTTATACCCCTAAGTTGTAAGGGTTATTCACCCTTAATTTTTTTAAATTTTTATTTTCGGACGATATTTTTTTGTTTTTATTTTTTCATAATGTAGCATTAAAAATACACACAACCCAAATTTTTTACTATATTATTATTTTTTATTTTTATCACCAACCCCTATTTATTTATATGGCAAAACAACGTTTACCGGGTCAGCTGGTATAATATAACATCAATTTTGTGTGTGACTTTAGTTAGTTCACACAACGGTAGCATCTATTTTATGTCTTGGCGTTATAATTCCATGACGTTCACTTATTTACGGCGTGACATGACTTACGGCCATTACGAAACTATGGGACAATCGAAAACCCCACACATTCGCCCCCATCTGTTTCCTATGCTTTTATGTCTTACAAATGTTAATGTTATAGTGGACATCGCTTTGTGTCACAATCATTTCTCAACAAAACATCTAATAATTTTATACTGAATATATTAAAATTTTTACAAACAAGTTATTAAATTTGAACTTTTATTTCATTAATTTTCATTCCGTAACAGTTTTCTTACAAATTGCTGATTTTTTATACATATTCCTTAATATTGTATAACAATTTACATCCCTACTAATATTATAAATGCGAAAGTAACTCTGTCTGTCTGTCTGTCTGTCTGTCTGCTACGCTTTCACGCCTAAACCACTGAACTGATTTTAATGAAATTCGGTACAGAGATAGAGTTGACCTTGAGAAAGAACATAGGATAGTTTTTATCCCAGACTTTTGAAAGGTTCTCTTGGAAACGCGATATAACCGAACTCCACGCGGCGAAGCTGCGGGCGGAAAGCTAGTATAACTATAATATATTCAAGATTCACACTCCAGTCTTATCCGCATTAAACTGTCGTCTCAAAGCGAGCGCCTCACGGAAGTTGCCGAAGTTAGCCGAAAGAAATCGTTTATTTTTTGTCTCGCTTCAACAAAAAAAACATGGCGCGAGCTTCCAAGCTGTTATAAACATGTTCGGTAACCGTACTGTTGCGTTTGTTATTTAATGTACATTGTTGCGATTTATTTTTGTTATTTTTGTTGTATAACATTGTTATTGTTATGATGTTGTTATTATAAATATGTACCGGATTAGCGGCGTCTGTATAATGTGAGTTTGTTTTATATATTTGTATTTTCGTCTAAAATATGATTTCGATTTTGACGCCGAGCGCGTAACGAAAATTATTTGTTATTATTGTTGGAAATTAACCTTTGTTAAGTATCGAGATAAATATTATTTTAAGTTAATGAATTGCATCCAACATTGTGCCAGGCTCTAGCGGGTGACCCATTTTAAAGTTTTAATTAAAAAGTTACAATACAAAGCTTGTATTATCAGAAGTGTATTTGCATAAGGTATAAGATGCAATTGTTTTAAATTTACATTGTTTAGGATTGTATTATTTGATAAAAAGAAATAATATTTAGTTCAATGATAGTCAATGTTAAATATTATTGGTCTTTTTCTATATAAAGTACATTTTACGTATATTTTGTTTAAAGAAATACTTACTTAATATGTACTTACATTTTAACTGACGTAAGGAAGTTAAGAATCAGAATAATATTGGATTTATAAGTTTTCCGTGAAGTTATAGTTGAAATTAAAATTTATAATAATTATTGATCGGGGAGATATATTAAATTACTAAATATATGTACATCTTTTTTCAATAACATATTTGATATTTCCACTAAAGGGTTAAAAACAAACTTTATAAATATTAGAAATTACAATTTAATATAAATTATTAAGGAATGACTACCGTTACATTCTAACTGTTTAATTCTAAAACAAATAAATAAAAAAACTCAACAATTGATACAGATATATTACTGTTTAAAAGGGTAATTTAGAATCACTATATACCTATATTAATTTATATTATAAGGCTGTTTGGACGTGAGCCAGTTCTCACAGATATATTATTTCCAAGGAAAGAACTAATTGTTCGTCTCCGTACAATAGTTAATAGTCAGTCTTTCCAGCATCCCGTATATGTGATATTATTAAGGAGGTAGCCGTAATATTTTTGCATATTTCCATAACAGTACATTTCTTAACAGATATATGACTAAAAAACTTAAAAGTCTCACTTATATATAATGATCTAAATTTTTTATTTGCTTTATAAATATTTTACGTATTATTAGAGAAAAACGAAAGATTATTTTTTGGTTCTTCATGAAAATTCTTGATCACGATTCGTCAGAAGCATATGTGATCATTCGTGATCATTCGTGGTCACCTAGCCGTCTCGTGTTACAAAGTCATCATTCCGAGTACATTCGCGTAAAACGAGGGCGTTTGTTACTTGGAAACAAATTGTTTACATCGACGTTTGTGGCTTGTTGACTGTTTATATACCAATGTTCGCGTTCTTGAAATAGCTTGACAACTTGAAATGGAAGAATTGGGTCAATATGTTAATATGTGCCAATAATATGCTGGTCATTGAACTATTAGTGATGAGTGATGACTCTGACCGACAGATAGTCAGATAGTCTTAATTAATATTATTCGGATTACTACGCGTATTTTATTATTTTAAAAAACTACATACTTAGACGTTTCGGTAACCGTGATGACGGGCAGACGAGATGTTACTTAGGATCTGTTTTTCTTGTATTGACTATTTCGTCTTTATATTTTCACTCATATATAAGAAATATAATGTATAATTTAATATATATTCTTATATAATATGAATCACGAGCCCATTTTTCAACGTGTTGCGTGTTTGTTAGCATGATGTTACATTAACCCCGTGATTGCGTAACTGATTCTGGCTAGTAAAGAGCGTTCATCATCAGATGCGCGCGTGTACTGGCTCGGCTGCGAGGCCCAGCCCTATTTGCAGAACAATGCAGAGTTGTGCGCATGCGGTGGGAAATCGTTTCAGTTGTAGGGAAAACGCGCGAACCGGGCAGTCATATCGCGGGCGCGTTTGATCGCGCGCGAGTTTAACCGCGCCGTGGCGGACGCCGTGAGCCGCGGTAAGCGCGGCGTGACGTTCGCCGACGATTTTGATACGGACGTGTCTGAATTTCAGTGTCAAAAGGTTGGTGAACGAATAACGACCCACACAGCACACAATACAGTCAGTTATCTAACACCGGCGACGTCTCTAGCTACTACCAGTACCTACATCCCTCGTGAGCCACGAATGTCATTTTAATGTAATGAATATCGTGTAGATTGTGTATTCGAGTGTTTTATTCGATAGATTTCTTTCAGTAAATATGTATGCACATAAATATATCGCTGTATGTATTTGCTAGTTATTATGTAGTATTATAATATGATGAATTTAATCTAGCCAGCTTTCACGTTGACCTGATTCTACTCACAGCTTCCTGTGTCCTTTCAGATGATGATGTCATAGTTCCTTACTCATTTGTATATCGGTCTACGGAATAGTGACCCAGATGTCTCAGAATGAAATTAGATTTCACATAAAATATTGGTACATGCATGTCCAAATATAATAGTTGTCTGAATGCTGACTGACGTGATATCATCGTGCTTTATATCTTTCCTATATTTATATCGAGGGAATATTTATAAAGAAATCTTTTTAAGTTTTTGCCGTGATTGTGTTACACTAAGGTGTGGTCAGAAAAAATCACTGGACCTTACAACGGTAGGGGATTGTAGCTATTTTTAAATTCCTCGTTCAGGTGAATTTACTCAAAAATAATTTCCTATAGTATATGCCCTATATTAAACCTCACCTTTGTTATAGTTAAATACGGATTATATCAAACTTATCAATATCAAAAAGTATTATTATCTTCAATATATCTTATTAATATTTAAAATTCATTTAAAACTTTTATATATTTGAAAATATTTTCAAGGGTAATCAGTAATGTCGAATACTGATGGTAGCTCTTAAAACTATTGGGTTGAGAATTGAAGGTCTCTTGAAAAGATTTCGAGTAATATTTACAACTCATGTTGAACATTTTTCACAGGCCATTGTCTGTATGAGAAACATTCTGAAGACAAAACAACATGTTTTATGAGTATTGTAGTGGATAGTTTTGTGTCCATTCCCTAATAAAGCCAGGAGATGTAAAAGTTTGTTCAGTAAAAGTATGAAATGCAACAGGTTGGAAAAATGCTTTACAAATACCTTTTGTACGGAGGATTTAATTTTTTTTACGTTTTAGGATAGTTTTAATTCATTTTCTTTTCATAGTTTATATGTATGATGAACTGTAAATTGACTTGGGTTTATTTTAATTCATTAAAGTAAAGCAATCTGAACTTTGTGCTTACCACAAGTTTAACATCACACTACAAAAGAAATAATTCTGTTTCTCATTCAATAGACTTATAATAACTTAATACTATAATATGATAAGTCAGTGGTGGCGTAGTGGTTAAAAGGTCCACCTCTCATGCATGAGGGCGCGGCTTCGATCCTGACAAGTACCAATGTGATTTTTCCGAGTCATATGTACTTTGTAAGAGTATTTAGACATCACTGATTAAATGCATTCCCAAAGAGGGTTGATGTCAGGCAGGTGGCCGGTCGTAAAAACAATTAGCCAAAATTCACTATTCACAACATATAAGGCGGACCCTGGCTAAAGCTGGGAAAAATTGCCAAGTAGAAGACATTAATATGATAAGGATTACAAATAAAAAAAAACTGGCAACGATACGTATGTAGTGTAACGATGCAAACTCTTATTAAGTATATTGATGACTAATAAAATTAGATTACTTTTTATATGAACCGCAAAATATTAAATATTTCATTATACCCAAGGCTTTTTCTATTAAAGTAAAGCTATTTTAAATACGTGCTCATGACTCCATATAGTATACGCTATGTACTAATATTTTTTATCTCTCGTGCGTCATTATAAAGAGTGAGGACATAATGGGATGCTGGGAGACTAGCGGGCGGAAAATCGGACGTTGAAGTTATTACGACGCTCTAATAAGCAAAGCTGGGGTTTGAAAGAAAATTATCAACCATCTTATGTGATGTAACCATTATATAATATACTTTTGACCTAGAATCTCACTTAGGGATATTTAAAAAGGATCAGAACTTAGATCACGGAACGGTTTTCTTTCTATGTATATCCCTACTAATATTATAAATGCGAAAGTTACTCTGTCTGTCTGTCACGCTTTCACGCCTAAACCACTGAACTGATTTTAATGAAATTTGGTACAGAGATATAGTTGACCTTGAGAAAGAACATAGGATAGTTTTTATCCCAGACTTTTGAAAGGTTCTTTTGGAAACGCGATGTAATCGAATTCCACGAGGGCGAAGCTGCGGGTGGAAAGCTAGTAGACCATGTTTTTAAGAATTTTAAGTTCAAAAACGAGAATTAGTGCAATTTTATAATTAAATTCACGAATTCTACCGCGAAATAAATACGGTAGTAAAATAATTAAATCACTTTAGTTAGTAACAGCGTTTAAATTGTGAAGCCACGTTTTTATTTAATAGCGAAACCTTTTGAAACTTCTCAGTTTTTCAAAGTACAGAAATAATTTAGTTTGAAGTTTGATGTTTGTTAAGTTAAACGTTTTTGTAGATTTAGAATTTAAAATTGCTAAATTATATTTTTCTTTGCGTTTGCGAAGCGTATAAAGTTTTTGTTTCTTCTTTACTACCATTGATATAAATTTTTAGCTTTAATTAATATTTCGCAAATTATCTATTAATGAAGAAATCTAATCCTTTAATGAGATAGATATGAATCAAAGTTTTGAAAAAGAGCAACATTAGGTATTGATGTGATGTATCGGAATTTTTTATACAAATATAGTATATTTTTAGGTAACCGTATTCTAAAAGGTTGGTTGTAAAAGATTTGGATCAAATTTTTAAATTAAGCGGAAAAGTAGTAGTTCAAGTCAGGAAAGATATCATCGATGGAGAGTTTTTTGTTTAAGTTCAAAACAAGCGTTAAAATTTCAACTTTGCATGCATGATCCAGTTGTTAAATTAGTTTTTTCTTTAACGTTTTTATAATTTGAGAGCAATTTTATAAAAATTACTCCTTACATAATGTTTGGACGGACGATAGGTTATGATTTAAAATAACTTAATTAATATTAAGTTTATTAATCATCAGGATGGTTTTACAATCTAGATATGAGTTCTAAATTCTTATATACAAAAATACATTTATAGGAAAGACTAACTAATTCTAAATAATCATTTATAAGATTAATAAAATTCATACAAGACCAAACAAAAATGAGGCCCTTAAAACATTTTATTCATTGAAATTATACAATTTTCTCTATTTATATAAACAAAATACTTATTTGAATTTATTCTATTAATATTGCCGAACATTATCGCAATTTTCAAGACATTTACTGTATAATTAGAAACATGTAATTTTACCAAAAAATAAACAACTCCATGGAAAATACCAGACTTATTTTCCAGATTCCATTATATTCAAAACAGTCCGTCACAGATCGTGATTACGCACACAAATTGTGCACCAATCTCGTTACTATGCAGATTTTTGAATAACAAAAGTTAAGTCTAAAGGTTATTGACTTGCACGCTCAATCTTAGTTCAGAATCATGCGTTGCGAACTTCATCATCATCAGCCTATCAGAGCTTACTACTGAGCTAAGCCTCTTACTCTCATGGAGAAGGTTTGAGCATTAATCACCACGCTCACTCAAGATTGGTTGGTGATTTCAAACTTATAATTGTGAAATTATAAGTCCAGGTTTTCTCACGAATCACGATGTTTTCCTTCACCATATAATGTGCGATCTTGGTCGTAAATTATTATATTATGTTTACTATGAAAATTCATCTGTTAACGATACCTGTTGGTGGTCAGTCATCGATCTGACGGATCAATGGTCGGTTGTGTTTACGTAGTGGCTATTACTGAACGGCTGACCCAATTTCTTAACTCTTTTCATGTCATAAAACGGCTGGAACTAATGTTTAGTGGACTTGGAAAGCTTCCTGTTTATGAAAACATTCTTTATAACTCGTAAGATAATTACCAATATACGGAGTTTGGTTAATAATTTGTATAATTTATTGGTCATGAAAAGATTCTAAATTAACTATTGTATAGTATTAAATCTTTATGTTATCCACTTGTTGATAGAAATGAGACAGCGCTTGTAAAGAATGTAAAGAACATCTTAAGAGAAATAATTAGAGATTAACTCCGGCCGTTAGTTCCAGTTATAGATAAACACAAAAAGATTCATACCTTAAAAGAAATAAAACAATAAAGGGATATTAACCTACAATCTTTCCACTCACAGGAAAGTCGCTTCGACTATGCGGTACTTTTTTTGTAACACGTACTCAGTCGTTTTGGAGCGACCTGTATTAGTTTTTAATTGCGGGTACGAAAGATGCGTGCACGGAACCATTTAAGTTAATCTTTAAATAAGTAGGCAACATTTAAGTTACAGTTTTACTGTAGCTGATAAAAGTTATTTGAATAAAAGCAGAATTATTCTATGTACACAGTTTAAAATGTTTTATTCACTTGTATATTTTAATTAATATAATTCGATTAAAAAAACATAACAAAATTAGTTCAAATTTGTGTTGATTCCTGTATTCTTGTAATACGATAGTCTTTTCAAATGAATGAGCATCTGAAATAAGTAAAGGTCACGATTAATTAGGGCATCGTTTCTGCGGGTATAAATAAAAAATACAGTGGTACAAGAGATCATGTGTTTTGAATTTCAAATTGCTTCACTATAACTCTTAAAAATTTAAGTCCAGTGACCCAATGACCTCATTTTTTGAATCGATTGTATAGTGTATGACAACAAAGAATTGTGGTTGCAATTGTAATTTTCATGCATACGAACTATGTACATATGTAAAAATAGGTTTTGACTAAATTAAATTTATATGTTAAGATAGTATGTATGACGTTTGCTATAGCCCAAACGATAAACGAAAAGTTTTTCTGTATTTTAATATGAAATATAGCATTACAATAATTATAACAATACCTAACATATGGAACAGAACGATCATTTGACCCGAATCAGAAGAAAATGAAGTTATGTATTAGCAATTATTCCATATTGAGAACTTGTCCGCATATAGGCGGATGGACTGCCCTAGTATTGTCGTATTACGGCATTTCACTTTACAGCTAGTCTTTTCTAGTCTGTATTTTTTGCTTCAATTTATGCCTCTCTCGGTCGCTGTTACAAATGTGTTGCTTTTCATCAATCTCGACTTTTAAGCCTTTGTTTGAGGTTTCGTTTCGATGGGGATATTGTCTTTTTTAATTTGAATTCTATTGAATGTGGCAGTAATTGGAAAAATAAGCATAGCATAGCATGATTTTTTTCTTAACTTCATTTCATTAAAAGAAATGATTTGTTTTTTTCGACTTACTTTTATTAGAAACTAGCTTTCCGCCCGCAGCTTCGCCCGCGTGGTATTCGGTTATATAGCGTTTCCAAGAGAACCTTTCAAAAGTATTGGATAAAAACTATCCTATGTTCTTTCTGAAGGTCAACTCTATTTCTGTACCAAATTTCATTAAAATCAGTTTAGTGGTTTAGGCGTGAAAGCTTAACAGACAGACAGACAGAGTTATTTTCGCATTTATAATATTAATAGGGATATCGGTCAGGACTTATTTATTGCAGATATACTTAAGTTCAGAGTTTGTAGTTACAAATGTTTTGTTTGTTATGGCATACATCATTCAGCCGTCTGTTGAATCGTAAGTGACTACAGTACAATGCAAATGTGTGGGATATTTTCATTGCCGTGTGAATGTTAATAAGGTAGGAAAGACTTATTACTTCATCTTATAATATACATATATTGTATTATTATATAGTTACATTCTCATGTGTTAGTGCTGGTCCAAAAATGTAAGTAACGAATGTTTAGAAAGAGGATTAAGGATGCAAATTTTATACGTAAACTGTGAACTGGTTGTCAATATGTACATTGTCCCCAAAATGACGCTATTTGTCTACCGTCGAGTACCGTTTACAATAATCTTGAACGCAGGTCGTCAAACAAGATATTAATATTCCATTGACTTTGTTTACTTTTAATGTTTTATTTCTGACTAGTTTTTCCTCGAATTCCTTTACATAAATCCTTTTTTTATTTTTGTATGCTTATATTAGAAAAGGGTCTTATATCAAGTGTCTCAAAGTGTACAAAATAGTTAAATTGTGTTGAGTTTTACTTAGTTTTAACATTGGATAATTGTACATAGGTGTTGTCTTACAAACCTTTTATAGTCCACTTAGTTTTATAAAACAATTCATTCCTATCAAAGTCGGACACATAAAACCTCTACAAACGGTTATTTTTTGATAACATTAATAAAAACATTCACTTGAATAACTGAGACAAAAAAGTCACTAGAACCAATGTGTATGTAAAAAAATCTTTTTACACATATTCTTTTAAATAATAAGAATTCCTCTTATTTAATTATGTCATAACACTACATATAAACATGACAACAGTCACAATGAACCAATCTCTAAAACTAATGTACAATTTATATCGTAAGCAACTATATGCATCGACGCCAGCTAATGTTTCTGCCAAAATTTTCCCATAAATCTATTGCATAGTTGACTGAAATGACATTCATAGTTATAGTCACGTCTGAGGCCACATTAAACGAAGGTCATTCCCAGATACGAGCGAGATTTGCCTTGCAAATACTCAAGAGGTTGTATACAATAGCAGATCGTGCGTTGGGAATTGCTTTTTGATTGAAGGAAATAGATTGATTTATAACATTGATTTGAGGATATCAAAATGATAGCATTTGGTTGAAGGATTTTGTGTTTTAGTAAATATGGGATGCTGTAATAATTTAAACTATAATAGTGTTTACTAAATCGGTATTGAATTGGATGAGACTATAGTTTTGTAACAGGCTTTGCATTACAATTAATTGAATATAGAAATTTTGATCCTTGTTTTTGGTTTTTGCATGAATAATAAGCTTTCATATAGAAAAAACTCTTATTTTCAGGACCACTTATACAATGTAATAATTATATACTGATATATATTTTAGTTTATAGCATTATATATGGCTAAAATGCCGAAACACAACAATTAATTTTTTCTTAACTTGCGCATTCAAAGCCCGTATCTATATTTTATTTAAAAATATTTCAATGAAATTCTAGGCATTCTATTGAAGTTGAGTATTAATGTCAATTGTATTAGTTTTTGAAGGAATTACGTTTCAAAAAACTATTAGTAAGATGGCGAATAAAATGTATAAAATTCAATGATCATTGCAGTAATAACAAGCTAAGAGAAAACATATTATCTCTTTATGTACTGTACCGAATAAACGTAGAATTCTAACACAGTCCAATGAGTATGTAAAGAGGATGTGTAAATTCATATTATTTAGGTAAAATGTATGATAAGTATTTAATCGAAAAACATATGGATTTATAAATAAATAAATACCACTGTGACTGACACACACACACACACACACAAATGAATATCCATGAAGACATCTCAATGTGTGTGTTGTCACTAAATGTTAAACCTAAATAATGACATTTCTGTTTTATTGTTAAAGTCAAATAATCACTTAAATATAACTGAATCTCGACTGTTATAGGATATTTTAATGGAAATAATTTTACTCAAATAAATTTTCACACATATGATTACTATTATTAGAAGTACATTATTCACGGCACATGAAAATATATATAATATTTTTCAAAACTATACATTGAAGTTCTTTTGTGTTTCACGGCACATGAATAGCAGTATCAGTAGTAGCTAAGCTTTTTTTCTACCTATCTATCACACTCACTTTCACCAAACTCAACCTGAAGTTATTTGAAATGCTTCTCTTATTCTTATTTTTCTTTGCTAGGTGCGCGTCCGCGAGTTCTACATCGCGATGCAGCGTTGCCCCTACATCCACGAGATGAAGGAGCGGCTGCTGGGAGCTCCTGCTGACCCTGAACGTGCACCAGAACAGCCTGACCCTCAGGTCGGGACCATTGTCAAAGTAAGACACCATCATTATGTGAGATATCATTTACCTGCCTTACCTTCGACGCACTACAATGGGAATCTGTGACATTACTGCGGTGAGGTACAGATTGACCTGCAAGTCAAACGTCGCAAGTGGAAGTGGATCGGTTGCACGTTTCGAAGGGACCCAGAACACATACCAAGTCAAGCCCCAGACTGGACTCTTCAAAGAAAGAAAAAACGTGGCCGCCCTAAGCAGACCTGGCGGATGATCATTGCAGAATTCAAAAACATCGGGAAGACTTGGAGCTACATGAGAGGCGAAACTCAAGACCGAATGGGATAGCGGAGTACTGTGGACGCTCTCTGTCCCATTTTGAGGACATAGGACTAAAAGAAGAGAAGAAGAACTTCGAAGTAGTTTAGCTTGGCGATAATGTTATGTACAACATAGCATACCTACTACATATGACACTATTTCTGTACATTATTTCACAGTGTGCTTGCGGCTATAAATAACTATATACCTTTGTGTTAAACGCACTATAACTTCCAATACGTAAAACTTAGTATATAAACTGAAATGCAAGTAAAACAATCTAGTAATTCCAGTAAATCAACCCAATTTACTTCGGAAAACTCCACCGTTGTTGCTAATGTCATTACATCTCGTATTTAGTTATCGTGTAATTCATTTTGTATTTATTATATTATATGTACGACTATTGAATCAGGAGAGAGCTTTTTAAATGTAACATATTCTGAGAGCACTTAACCTACCTCCGTTTCGAAGGTTACTTTTTCCGCATCCCATATTGTAGCAATATATGAAAATTTTCCGTGTTTTAAATGTAGGTTACATTTATTCATTTTTATTATTCTTTATTTTGCAATTTTATATATTTCATATGGATTCAATTTCAAGCTAAGTTTTTAAAGAAATATTTTTATCAGGCTAAAAGTAAAGTCGTGTCTTTTCTTACAATAATAAACGCTGCTATTGAAAAGCAATCGAAAGATTGGGTTAAAAACGAGTAATTAAGTATAAGTCATTCGAAAAACGTAAATAAAATCTCATTTTGAACCTTAACTACCATAACATAAATACCAAATTGATTTATTTTACCTGCCTTCGTTCAGTGTTTTTTTACCACTTTTCGAGAGAAAAGAAAGACTTTAGTGTTAATTTTGGCCTTTAGGGTAAATTTTATCTGTCTGGTCTGAAGTTGATTAAGTTGATTAAAGATAGTGATCTACTTGGATTCGCAGATTTAAACTAATGTTGTAATCGTAATAACTTGTTCTGGAACTATAGACGGGTAAGAAAACCGTCTAAATTTCAGAGGGTAGGTTCTTAAACCAATTGCAATTAAAAGGCAAACGTTTATGCTTCTAGTACTCTGTTTAGATAATGTTGATAACGAATGCGTTCCTGCGTACGAGCTAACGGAAAATCACATAACTCAGACAGTGTTTAAATTGAAGCGTGATCTAAATAACTTCTAAAAGAGCAAGTAATGAGTGATCTTTTTGGTAACAGATATACAGATTTCTCTCGCTACTTCTCCATACATTTTTGCCGAATTTAAGGCATAATAATCCTATTTTATGGTAAACTAGCTGCGCAGCGCGTTGTTACCCGCGGATTTCCGGGATGTAAAGTACCATGTGTTATTCCTAGACGTCAGCTTCCTGTATACAAAATTTCATCAAAATCGGTTCATCCACTTGAGCGTGAAGAAGTAAACATACACACACACTCACAAACTTTCGCGATTATAATATTAGTAGGATTAATAAATATAATCTGATTACAGCTGAATTCCGACGGGTACGGTTCCCATACGTCGCCGGCGCGGGCTCCACTCGTGGCAGACGAGTGCGATGCGCCGGCTGACGAAACAGATGCACTTGCGCCGATCGAGGAGATGAGATGCTGTCAGCCTGACACTAAACCAAAAAATGCCAAGTAAGTTGTTGAGCCAAAGAGGGTTGATGTCAGGCAGGCGACCGGTTGTAAAAACAATTAGCCAAAACTATTCACAACATGTAAGGCAGACCCTGGCTATAGCCGGGAAATTGCCAGGTAGAAGAAGAGGATTTCTAATAGGGATGTTTTATTAAAGATTTTTTTATATGTAGCTTATAAATATTAAGTGATTTGGGCTATTTATTATTTTATATGGTACCAATGTCTACTATAATTCTAGATTACATCTTGTAATGGCTAATAATTTATTGTTTTCCTTCGTTATGTTCTATCTACATGAACACTATTTTTACGTATTATTGCAATTTGTATGAACTTCGTATCGACTATCTCCCTATTATCAAGAAATATCTGTTACGTTATTTTGTTTATATTTTTCTAGTAAACTAGTAAACTATTACAGCTATAAATCTCCGTGTTTTGAAGTGCGACGGAATGATTGACATATTAGTTACTTGTCAAATCTAATGTCAAAAAAAATAACGTTTGTATCAACAACTACTAATAAATAAAAAAATTTATTAAAAAACATTGTTCAGCGGACAAAATTGTGAATCTAAACCATTCTCAGATCCCCTTAAACACACACAAAAAATTTCATCAAAATCGGTCCAGTCGTTTGAGCGAAGTTCAGCGACACACACTCACTGAAGGATTATATATATAAAGATTGGAAAATAAGTTAATACTTGAAAGATTTTTTCTTATTTTATTTATATTGGTGATTCCTCATTATTATTACTATCAGGAATTGTTCCGTCAACATTGGTTTATTACTTAATTATAATAATGAATGTCATTAAAGGCACTGACGCAGATAATACTATATAATGTGCAAGCTAACGTGATTGTTTTGTGACATATGAAGATCCTATTATATAATATTGTATTCACTAATAATACTAACCTCTATTGAAAACTTAATTACTCTAGTAAGTCGTCCTAATGTTTGTCTTTTTATGTTTGAAAAAAATCTGGCAGGTAGTAAGTAATTCTAGCATAAAATTTATTTTGATAGTAAAGGGGCTAGCTACATATAAATATACAGGTGCTTTCAAATGTCATTAACACGTTGAACGCCGCGGCATTTTGACTAAAATTGCCCTACACGAGTTCGCAGGTTTTTGTTCTGTTGAGTAAATAGTATTTATATATGTTTTGTAAAAGATATATAATTTTATAATAGGAGGTTTAGACCATTTTTTAAAATAAAATCCCCAGTGGACACCCACGACATTAAGTGTTAAAAAAATTTTAAATAAGAAAAGATTTAGTCATTTTTTTTTTTGCTGCGGGTCACCGGTAACCCACTGATTTTACGTTGCTCTTGAAGGCTATTATTAAATTTTACTTTGAACCACGTTACTACAATAAACTTAGCGTTAGTCCAAGCCTACGCCCCTGTGTATATCAATGGAGCGACTCATCCATTGACCTATAAATATGCGGGTCAAATAAAACTAGCACAAAGCCTGAATGGAGAGATTAAAAATAAATAAAGGGAAGGAAGCTGCAATCAAAGCACTTCCACGTAGCGTGGACCGATGGACAATCCATTAAAAGGAACCCATACACAGAACACGTGCAGAGACCGACAAAATTTAGGTTTACTCTAATTGTGATTTAATAAGGTTGATTATTGAATAATTGTTTTATTTATGTTGTTTTTTTTGTGCCTTTTAATCTTGTCTTTCAGAAATATGTAAGGAATCACATAATTCACTTATGTACATTAACATAAATTTAAAATATATTCAATTAAAAGTAGAATCGTAGGAATATTTGAAAAACTAGATATAAAAATATTCATAAATTTATATACCTAGTGTCTTAACATAATATATTTCAAATTAAATTGAACAGTTATTCATTACAGAAAGTATATAATTTGTTTAATAATATTGATTGTATTTTCATTTAAAAATATATACAATACTAAAAATATATGTCCTTGAAAATTAAATACAATTCGATATGAGAAAGACATATGTACGTGTGATGCCTAATTTATCTCTATACGGGTTTGGGAACTTGTAATGCATTTAATGTTCCATTGTGAACAAGAAGGACTTTGTTATGTCACTCGATGTATGGCTTATGTCATTGACGCAATTAAAGATTAGTATTCGATTGTTGGTTCTTAACTGTACTCTTTAAAAATATTTAGTCATTTTTTTGAGCGAATTTTTGGACTAATGATGATTATGTATCTACATAACTCAGAAGTCAGTGGTGGCCTTGTGTTTAAAAGGCCCGCTTCTCATGCTTGAGGGCACGAGTTCGATCCTGGCAAGTACCAATCCGATTTTTCCGAGTCATACATATGTAAATAGTCTTAGAAAGTACATACTTTCTAAGAGTATTGAGACATCACTGTTTTAATGTATTCCCAAAGAGGGTTGATGTCAGGCAGGCGGCCGGTCGTAAAAACAATTAGCCAAAACTATTCACAACATGTAAGGCAGACCCTGGCTAAAGCTGGGAAATTGCCAGGTAGAAGAAGAAGTTTCCACGAATTCCATGTATGTCCTAGATATTTATTACGAGTGCTCATTGGTTGATCCTATTAGCTTTAAGGTTTCGTAAGTCTGTTTAGAATGTACGCGACGATTTTAACGTATTGAGTTTCGAAGGGGATGTGTTGCTAATTAAGTTAATAGACACAAGAAACTCATTAGAATATTGTGTAATATATGTTTAGAGTATTCCATATTCTTAATAGAGGGCAGAGAAAATACCTGGATGACTCGTTAAAGAAAGTTAAATTAGTTTTAGCTTCATGAAACTCTGTATAGCTCATGAAAGAACATGATATCCTTTCAGCAAACATCTTGATCTTCAGCTTTCAAGATAGGACTCAGATTTTTTGATGCTTGACCTAAAACTTGACATGAATGACTACAGATTACATAGTGTAGTGCTCTGATGGAGTTCACTGCCCTGCTACGGTCACTATTCAATTGAGATTGAGCATGCGCTCTTTGTGTCCTTCCAGACTTCTATTATTTAGTATTTAATATTGATATTGATACATTAAAGAGATGAATGCATTATATAAATCAAGGTTGTCACTCTAGATTTTGTAGTTGATTGGTAACTGGAGTTTGAAAGGTAGGGCCGGGTCAGTGGGTCGCGCAGCCTCCCAAAGCTTGTAGAGAGACGCGCCTCTATCGACCGCGGGTCGCCACATTAGGGTTGCCAAATGTTATACTTCCGCCTAAAAAATAAATAATTTATTACATTTTAATTATGTTTCATATCATTGAATATTTTGATATCGTTTAACGTGATACTTTAGTTTAGGTGTTGGAGTAATTTCAATTAACACCAGCTTTGAAAGGGCATTGAGTACGTTTAGGGATCACAAAAGAATTCTTTCAAACAGGACAAATGGTTATGCAGGGTGCATAGCGAGAACGCATTGTCTAAGCAATCCCCTAATAACCTCCCTATCGAAGTAGGAAATATCCCTCTTGCCTATAAGAGAGCAATTTACGATATAGGGGTTGTTGCGTCCCTGATTTGAGGTCTTTATGCGCAGCATCCATTCCTGCGCAGCTCTCGGCGCTCTCGGGCGACTACAGTACGAAGCCGCACCTTCACATTTCCGGAGTCTTTTTGGCTGTGAGAGATCCCTTTAATCCCTCCCTGACCCGCTTCTTGCCCTTAACCCTGATATGTTTGTTACATCGTGAAGTGCACAGTTTTGTGAAGTGCGATGGGTAAAGAAAAGCACCAGCCCACCGAGGCTGAGGTGAAGGTAGCCACTGTGGAGCTGGATTCAGTGGATAATATGGCGACGCTCCCCGTGGGCCAACATCGTCAGCAGGGTAGCGATATCGCGATCGCTGAAAAACATAATACCGCTAACAAAGAAATGGAGCTGAAGTGCGTACAACCGAAGCCTTCTAAGAAGTATGTTCAGATGAATAGGACTTTTCATTTAAATTCTTATTATATGTTAATATATAGAAGTTCAGCATATCGAACTCACGAACCGTAGAGTATAAAATAATTCAAGTATTGCTTATTGAATCCTTCAATTGAAATATTAAGACATATTTTTTCATTATCTTCTAGTATTTTTAAGACTGGAACTACTTTTATGTGGGTCATCGTCATTCACTCCAATTCCGAACTTTCCTTTGTTCATGACCCAGAATGTTAAATAGGGTCTGAATATGCATGAGGGTCAATTTAATTCAGTTAGCGGTCTAAAAGAAGATTTTACATATTTTATACTTTTTTTTGTCGTGTACGTACATATATATAGAACTTTTAATTAAAGTAAAAACGCCCAAAAAAATAAGGGACAAAGCTTGATATTTATAATCACGCAAAAACCAAATACCGATCAAAATTTATATATTTATACATATATATAAACTATATTTAATGGAACGTATTCGGAACTTTCTCTATTTGTGGATACCACTAGAGCAATTGTTATAATATTATATATTTTTACACTTTCAAACGTATAGAAACGCTTTAAAGAGCATAATATTTTTAATTAATAAATTTTGCAGAGCCTACTTATGTATATGAAGAGTAAAAAGCAATTAGTGTTATTAATGTCTAAGTATTCAAAATGTATGTATGTATACTATGGCGTTTTTTCGAAGTCTTGATGGAATTAACTTTTTTTAGGACTTCATTGTTCATAATATCGAGTTTCATCTACGCGAAGCTGCTTGTGGTCGTGTGTATCGCCTACGTCATCAGCGATGTCATTACTCACAACCTGCCTCTCTACTACTACGAAGGGTTCTTCACTTACTTGTATGGCATGAGCATACTGTTCTTGCTCTACGTGTTTTGTTTCCTTCTGCAAGGTAATTAGACATGATCTATGCTTATTTTTTATAATAGTGCTATGGATAGGGAATATATATATATATATTCTTTGTCACAGAGAGTTCTTGCTGCAATGGAAGCCCACCAAAACCGAAACCTCCGCCAAAAGAAAAGAAAGAGAAGAAAGAAAAAGAAAAGAAGACTAAGGATAAAGAAGGCAAAGACGTGAAGGAGGGCAAAAAGGATGGGAAAAAGGATGGAAAAAATAAGGACAAGGATAAGAAAGAAGATGCCAGTAAGGACAAGAACAAAGAGAGCAAGAAGCAAAGCCAATTTCAGGTGCATACATAAATAAAAAACTATTCACATCATCAGCACATCCATATTATTCTTTACTTTTATCATAGCACATCTTTTCCTCCTTGTGTCGTTATGTGTTATTTAACAATTTTGTTTTTCACTTATCATTGAAAATTACGTATTTAAAAATGTTGTGATTTGTTAGCACTTTCGCAAGTTTTTATATGCTTTCACTGAGTCCACGATTTATGTAAATGCTTCAATAGGACGTAAACGGCGCATGACCCCTTTTTGTTTACGCTGCCTACTTTTTGTTTTTTCCATATCATTTGGGCAGGAGGTGTATCCCCGTAAGATGCGTGATAAAGTTCGACAACAGGAATTGCAAATACAAATGGAGCAATTTTATGCCTCCGATCAGGTGAGGTATATAAAGAATCACGCTTTTTCATTGCGTTATGTATACCACCGAAACGCTTTGGATGTGCTGTTGTTTTCTGTGTGTGATTATCGTGTACAATGCTTTTCCTGTCGGCTATATCACCAATGTTGCTACTCCAATTGTAGGGATTTCAAAATAAATCTTTTCCGATTCCCAACATGACAAATAACCAGACATTTCCTGTATTTACTAATTTAGTTCTGCCATACAGAATGTACAATCTTCTCAAGTGAAATTTCAAGTTTTTTCTGGGGAATAATAAAATCCTCCGTTTTTTCTGTAGCAACAAGATGTGGTTGAGCTGGAAGCTGGCCCTATAGCTCGTCCAATGCGTCGTCGCAAGACCTCTCAAAACGAACATAGCCATGGCAGCTTCTTCTTAAGAATCGGCGCAATAGGTAAGATATAAAAAAAAACATTACATCAAATTAAAACAACCAATTCTTTTAATTCAGTTATGAAAATATAAGTTAATATAATTTTATGAGATATTACCTGCTACTATAATTTTATAAAGAACTAGCTGCGCCCCGCGGTGTTACTCGCGGATTTCCGATACTTCCGGGATGTAAAGTAGCCTATGTGTTATTCCTGGACGTCAGCTTCCTGTGTACAAAATTTTATCAAAATCGGTTGAGCCGTTTGAGCGTGAAGAAGTAACAAACATACACACACACTCACAAACTTTCGCAATTATAATATTAGTAAGATTTACAGATATTTTAACATTTTTTACTGACTAAAAAGAGTCTTTTGTATTTTTCACAGCTTTTGGTCTCGGAACTATGATTTATAACGGCTTAGAGTTCGGAACATTCTTTGAACTGCCTCTCGAGTCGCCATGCTACCTAATTTTAAAGGGTGTTAATCCTGTTCTACAAATGGTTTTCACGTTTATGCAAATGTACTTTATATTTATGAATTCACGCGTAAGTATTTCAATCGTTGTCAAACTCTGATTGTTTTTGAGCGTTAATGCATATCTAATTGTGGTTGATGTTTCAGCTAAATATTCATCGATTCAAGGTCATTGCCAGATTTGGCTTAATGCACGTCGTGGCTACTAATATTTGTGTTTGGATACGCACTTTAGTGTTGGAGTCTTTAAAAGAAATTACCGACTATCATGTGAAGAATCCTCAAGGCGTTCCTGGGGAAGGAGTTTTAGGAAGTATGAATTATATTATATAAAAAATATTCTAGTGAAATTTGAGTTATCTGTATTTATGATGATAATTTTAACCTTAGAAGTTATCCGGAAGCATACTTTAAGACACTCAGGGAAAGTTTTTGGGGCAGTGACTACCGCTACAACAACGATAGCTTCAACAGTAGCGACAGTTGCTAAAACAACAGGAGGACAAATAATGAATGCAATCACTTCTACTTCCACCCCAGCTACAACGACTACAAGTAAGTAAAAATTTACTAAGTTTATTTCAAAATGTCAAAAAACTAACCCCTAACATATGCATGTACGTGTAATAAAATCCTCCGACTAACTTTTCAGCGACAACTACCTCACGTTATATTAACGGTGGCGGTTTTATTCCTAAATCCAAAATCATAGAATCCATAAAAAGCACCGTAGGTTACGATAGTGGTATGTCTTACGGACGGGATTTCAAGGACGTTTGGCCAAATGATAATCCATTTACAACATCCACTGTACAACCTATAACGGAAATCGATAAAGTGACCCAAACCCAAACAGCTATGTTGGAAGTATTCCAATGGCTGTATTCCTCAACCGTGAAACCGGTTATAAGTACTATGTCTGCTCTGGCTTCAACTAATTCTGGAAATATCTATGATAAAGACGAATGGGGGAATAGTATCGAAACCTACCGCGTTGATGAACCACCTCATTCTCCAGGTTTGTTCGCGGTGCATCTTTCATCATCACGTTTGGTTCCCCGCCGTAGAACATTTTGTTTGCCTTATGTTTGTTCGTATGTCTAGGTGCACTTTAATCGGTTGTAACATATCAATAAGCATGTTTGTCGTCAGTTATAGCACATAACATAAAATAAAACTTTGTAATAATAATATAATATAGCTTAATGGTTTAATTTAATTTTTTAGCTAATAACTCAACGGAAATCTTCGAATCGTTCGATAATTTGAATCCAGCTGCCCTTATCGCTAATATCGATAACACTACGGTTTGTGGAAGAAATCCTATTATGGGAACAATTGTTACCGACTCGGCCCCATACTTGTATCCTTTCATTATTGAATACTCTTTGATCGGAGCTGCAGTGATATATGTTATGTGGAAACATATTGGACGTCATCCCAGGTAAATATTATTACCAATTACCTTTCATTATCATCTTAAAATAAAAAGAAATAGAATATAGCCCTAGCTTACTAGAATCACTGAAACACTTCACATAATCACTATTAGCATTGATACCAAAACAATCGCATACGTTATTGACGTGTGCGCACGCGTTTGGTTGCAGCGTGGCCAACGATGAAGATCTGGAAAGACGTTTGGAGGCTGTTCTCTCCCGCAGGGCGGCAGCACTGGCGGCGGCGCAGCGCGGCAACCGCGTGGACTGCGCAGGCGCATCCAAAGGACTCTTCTGCGGACTCCTCCTTCTAGTTGCGTCTCTCATCTGTTTGATCCTATTTTTCGTCCTCATAAGACACCAGGAACTGAAACGGCTCTCGATTTATTTGGCTGATGTATCTCATTGCGCGCTCATGGTGCTGTCTATCTTTGCTATACTGATCGGATTTATACGGTAAGTTCAGACATACATTATATTTTTTGTATCTATAGTAGTTAAACCATGTATTTTGTTGATAACCAAAATATTTTGTCACTTAACTTGGAATGTTATACAAATCTTTGTTTCCTCCTGAATCTTTGTAATATTTTTGTTATAGTTTAGTTTAACTCCACTTTTTCTTTGTTTTATTCCTTCACAATCATCCTTATCCTTTTAATCCATCATCACCGAATAAAATTTGGTCACTATTGTGTTTTTATAACAACTCACATTATATTTACGTCCCTGCACCAAAAACTATGTCCTATTTGTTTTATTTGTAACCGTTTTTGGTTGTTTTCAATATGTAGTAGTAAAAAATTAAAATGGACCTCAAATCCCTCTCCCTGTACCGAGCCTCTTCGCAGGGTGCAATCTTTGAAGTTCCGTTCAGAAGAGCAATCTGATTTGAACGATATTTTGCTACGTGTATCTGCATTTGGACTCTTCGTGTATGCGGTATTCAGCGTGATTGCCGGCGGAATGGGTGCTTTTACTCACGAACCAAATCTCTTGGTCATGATAACTGGATGTTTGAGCGTGCTTCAGGTCAGTTTATGAATTTTGAACTAGTTGATTTTATAGTCTTTGCCAAAAAATTCTGCCAAAAACAAGTTTAACATTTTAGTGTCTTTATGGTGTTATAATTTTGAGTCTATCCTTATTTTTCTATGAAAATGCCCCTGCCAAAAACAAGTCTAATATTTTAGTTTCTTTATGGTGTTTGAATTTTGAGAATCTTTTATGAAAATGCTTCTGATATAAGCAAAATTTTTTGTTTCATTATGTTTATAGTGATTTTTCGAGTTTTTCTTATATTGAGTTATATGTTTATATATTTCAGGTGGTATTACAGTTGTTGTTCATAGCGGATGTCTCCCGTCGCCGTGTTCATCTCCCTGAACAAGAGCGCAGTAAGCCCGCGCGTCAAGCCGTTACCTTCTTACTCATTTGCAACGTGACCATGTGGCTCATCTACACCTTCGAAGCTCAGAAAGTTCTTGCTAATCCGGTAACTGAATGCATTTAGTAACTCATTTAAATGAAACTTAACTTAAATGAACTTTTTCGGATATACTATTCGACTTTATTTTTGATAAAAACTACATACTTCCGTTGTCCGTGATCACGGTTGCTGTAAAGTAGCCGAAACGCTAGGAGTATGTAGTTTTTTACAAAAAAAAGTCGAGTAGTATATACGAAAAATTTTAGTTTCATTTAAATGAATAAGACTATCAATAATCTTAGATCTCATTGTCCATTAAAAACTATCAGAATCTAATGTGCAAAATAAAAAAATGTATCAGGTTTTTTCTTGGATACTTAATGCCTAATTTGCGTAAAAAATTAAATTGTAATTTAGATACTATTTTAAAAAGAATATTAACAAGGTACTTCTGAATTGCAATTATGTACATTTTTAATATCAGTTTTGTCAATCTACAATTGCTTAAAACTACAACTACATCATTTCTATAGCCACAACATCATGTTTAATATTTTATTTCCAGGTTCAACTAGATTTCTACGGTTTCGTCGCCTGGTCCCTCGTTCAGCGTTTCACTCTACCGCTTTGTATTTTCCATCGATTCCACTCAGCGGTAACCCTCGCTGAGATATGGAAAACCAGTTACAAAGCTCGTCTTGAGTGAATTCCGAAAAATCTTGAAGATCTTTAAACATTCATTATATGAGGGTGTTGAAAATTCTATTTCGTCCTAGTCCGGGACAGCAATTTTTCAAATTAGAATGTTTTATTGCCTGTTTCAAATTAAATATTACTAGATTAGATAAGGTAGGTGTTAAAATGATCGAATTTCCTTTCAAATAGCCAAATAATTGATTGCTCTCCCGGTTTCAACCACATATCTTGATTCAGACATAACCCACCAGAACAAATTGAAAACACATTTTCTTAATACATTCCACAAAACAATAGTTTCTTTACATTAATTTTAAAGACTGAAATGATTTTAAAAATGAATATACGTATTAAACCTTTGCTCACCAAAAGAAAACTTTCCAGTTGTGAAAAGTTCCCTCCTTATTTAAAAATAATTTTGGTGCCATTTTTATAGTATAAGGCATTTTGATTGGACAATATCATTCACGTGGGGTAAACAAGATGACCGACATTCAAAACACTCATAATAATTCAGTAGTAATAGATGATCAATTTTCAAATCAACTAAAATTAATTAGAGCGTTAGGTTTAATATTTAATGCGTCAGAAGATTTATTAGTACTACTTACTAATTCGATAGTGTAGAAAGATTATATACATAGTCGAGATATCGTATTGAATGTACTTAAAGCTATGCAGACATAGGGCAGAAACTGTTCAATGGTTTGGTTTATTAAAAGGGGCCATACAAATTTATATCCGCACATTTCTTAAGCATGCCTATTCGTATTTACACTTTCGATGTCATTTTGTTCTAGATTTTAGAATCTCTATGGAATATAGTGCTGTTTAATTGTGGTGAAAGCGTTTCTTCTTGAATGTGATTTATGAATTCGAATTAAAATATTTTGCGTTAAAATCACACTGCAAATATTTTCGTAACGAATTTTACGTGCAATCTATTTTTATAGGCTGACTTATTTTAATGGTAGGTAATAACCTATCCTTTTTGAATTTAACGGCGATGTATTCGAATATCATTTCTACTTTACAGATTTTGTATAAATAGAACATATAAATTATTTATAATATATTTATTAATTTTTGTAATTAACTTTTAAGGTTTAATTGCGACCGATTTCTTCAAAATCGGTTAGTGAGTTGTCTCACTTTGTGTGATTTCGAGTGAATGTAGTTCGGGTTTTTTGACTGGTACGTTATTATTATCTTGTTGTTTACGCAAATCGTCAAAATTTATAGATTATTATCTGTACGCATAACGATAGCATTTTGTGTAACGTACGGCGGTATACTGGCGTTAAAGTGTGTTTGGCTTGTTTGATCACTGCCGTTATTATAAACCACATCTTAATAGTAAGTATTTGATAAATCTATACTATTTCTAACTCGATCAATTTTGTAGTGATATTTACTGTGTACCTTAATGTTTGGAACAAAATGTACCGATGTTTGTATCTTTAGGTTTAAACATTAATAAATGAATAATCAAGTCAGTGTTATAGATACTTACCAAAAATTAAAAGTTTGGAATCTCTACATACTTTAAATATATAATAATTATAAATGTCTATTTGAATAAATTAAATAATATTACTTATGTGACCGTGTGTTTTATTTACATAACCACATTTGTTATAAATAAATGATTTGTTATAAATATATTTTATCTTTTATATAAAGACAGAGTGGATCAAAGGCTAAATTAAAAACAATATGTTGCCATAAGAATAACCAATAATTGGTGAATCTATTCGATTTCTTTAAAGCAAATATGTAATCATAATGGAACGTAGTACAAGTATTTGTCTTGGAAATATAGAATTTACACATAAATTCATTACTATCTTTTCATGAATTAATTTCTTGTGTAAGCATATTATTTATTGATATATAATATTTATAAAAAAGTATACATCTTTTTGCTGAGGCTTAAAAAGTTAGTATCCACACAAACAAAATACTGCTGTTTTATTATTGTACGTCAATGTCAAACCTAGTTAAAAACTGACATTAGCTAATACCAATGAAATATTACTCATTGCAATTTCACAACTTCGCTAATTTTCAAAAACTGCATTTGATAATTATATGTTCACTATATTTGTAGCAAGGTTGTTCTTGTAACTCATCAAAGTTTATAGTTCAAGGACAGGGAAGTGTTATTTGAATTTTCTGTGTTATCGTTTTCATAATAAATTGGTTAAAAATATAACCAAGTATGATATAAAACACGACATTTTTGGAATTAGTTTTTGTTGTAGTACTACTTAAATATGTTAATCCGTATTGGTCTCTTATTGTTCATACTTACTTGCGTTCAAACAACGGAAGATGAAGGGGAATATTATAATGGTATCGGCGAAATATACAGATCCCAGATCATTAACGTTATACGCAAACGTCAAGCAGATTTATCAGAACAGAAGCTACAAGGTGGCGAGGTCAAAACTGAACCATTGAATACAGACACACTGAATGACAGTGCCAATAAAATACCTGCAAAAACTAGTTCTAAAGAGGAAACACCAAAAACGCAGCCAGTAGTCGGAGAAAGCGAAGGAGGATCCGTGAAAGAAGATAATTCTAAATCAGTAGCTCTTGCACCACAGCCTAGTGAAGTACAAGATGAAAAAAATACAAAAACTGAAGTTCCCAAGGGTGAGTTAGATATATTAAATTTAAGTATAAAGAACTTTATTTCTCATAAGAATTTTACATCACTTAAAATGAGAGATAAGGAATATTTGCAAGATAACAATTTTAATAAACGGGCTGTTGGACATGACAGACTTGCTACATTTACTACTACAGGGAGGATATTAAATATTTTTTTAAATTTAACCTTAAACATCCCGATACTATCACACAGTTTTATTTCGTCTGGTAGTTTATTGAACAGTTGTACTCCCTCAAACAGAATTGTTTTTTTACCATAATTATGTCCCACATGATCAATTTGAAGTTTGTATTTATTCCTTAAGTTTGAAATATGCAGTCTCTCAGAGACAATCTTCTTTTTCCTGCCCTGGCCCACTTTATGTAGGGTCGGCACAATATGTTCTTCTCTTCCAGTCTCGTCTATCAGTCGTCATCTCATTGGTTACCCCTTTCTTACACATTTCATCCTTCATGCAATCCATCCATCTTTTCTTAGGTCCACCTCGAGTCTCGACCGACATATCCCTCCACATTCATATCTAACATTCTTCTTGTTATATGACATTCATTCCTTCACATAATATGTCCCTAATACCCTAATCTATTACTTCTCAATGATCAACAACAATGATTAACAATATTTACCCAATATATAATGAAAGCTTATAACATCCTCAATTCTGCTATTCCAGGTAATGCGACAGCACCCGCCCATTCTGCAATATTATCACCGCATGTGACAAATTCTACGGCAGTAAAATCCAATGGAACATCGAATTCAACTGAAGATCTTACATCTGAAAGCTTGGTGAACAAGCCAGGTGTTGTGAAAAGAGGTCTTATAGTTTTCGGAGGCTTTTCTCTTCTTGCTGCAGCATATTTTGTGTTTTACAGGTATGTATAATCAATTTAAATTCTTCATATTAATAGGCTATTTGAAGTTAGTGGTGGCTTAGTGGTTAAAAGGCCCGCCATTCAGGCATGAAGGTGTGGGTTTGATCCTGACTAGTACCTATATGATTTTTCCGAGTCATATGTATTTTCTAAGAGTATTTAGACATCACTGATTAATGCATCCTCAAAGAAGGTTGATGTTAGGCAGAAGCCCGGTCGTGAAAACAATTTGCCAAAACTATTCACAACATGTAGTTCAATCCCTGGCTGAAGCTGGGGAATTGCCATGTAGAAGAAGATATTAATAGACTATAAATTTTAGTATAAAATTGAGTTTTTATGCATTTGTTTATGTATTTATACAAATAACTTATTTTGGTTTTTGGTGGAAAGGCATATCATATTTACTACTAATTTTATGTTTTCATGAGTGTGTGGGAATACAAGTGGGCCAAATTTTTTAAGTATTGTAAAGATAAAATGCTTATAACAATATTTATTTGTGATTATTTATCTCAAATGAAGCATAATTGTGTTATCTGTAAAATGTTTTATCTTGCATTATTTAGATTTTCTTTTAGAAATCTTTTTTCAATTACTATTCTAATCATATTTGTATTTTGATAAGTGTTCCAAATTAAAGAATTTTGTATAGAGAGTTTATGCTAGTAACAGAATTGAGAAATTAACTACCCATCTTTTTTGTACTTAAAAGTTAAATATTAAAATCATCTCTTAGATAGTACCATATATTACTATTTTCTCAACAGTTTTACTATAACAAATATGTTAATAATTACAGGAAAAAGAGCAAAAACTATGATTCAAACACACACAGCAATAATGATACAAATCAGTTCAGATATGGTGTGTTACAATCAGACGATCGTCGGGACAACCTCGAACTCTCACAGATACCGTTAACCATGGAATCTGATGACGAGGAAGAAGATTTGGAAATATTTGACCTTGAACAGAAGAAAAAGTCCCTATCATATGTAAATCTACAAGTCAACGATGAAGATATTGTCCTAAACGGCACAAAAGATGAGTCCAAAAACAATCTGCTACTAGATATTGAAGATGGGTCAGATACATTGATCAATTGGTCGAGTAATGGTAATAAGTCGATATTATAATTTAAAAAATGTACATATTGAATTCAGGTCTAGTTCTTACATGTAGTCCCTTAGCTTACAACATCGCTTAAGTCATTTTTAGTAACTTTATGTACAGGAGAGGAAAAAAAATATATAATTTATCCTGTGTTTTTTTTATTGACTTTATACATACACTAGTTAGCGGTTAAGAAATAAATATTTATACATATTTTGACGATTTCGGGTCAATGCTCTATGCGCAGTTTCATCCAATTGCATTAAAAATGTAAAAAACCACAAATTTTCGACTTGAGCGGTGTTATTAGCTAAGGACGATGTATAATTTGATGTACACAAAATATGTATGTGATTAGAAATATTTTTTTTGCCAGTTTTTTGTTAGATCTTAATATGGGACAGATTTTGTACTGATGAAGATGAATATAGTTACTTAATTAACATACAAATTCTAACATGACAATTAATTAAACAAAAATATATAACTAGGTTATTCCTATATATCTGTCTTAAACTTATTCATAGTGTATTTAAAAAAAACTTTCATTTCTGTTTATTATTCCAAATTATTGCATTTATTTATTTAAAAGAATACAAAAATTATTTATAAGTTTAATTATATGAAACAATAGTATAAATACACTTCTCGTATATTGTATGTCAATGAAAAACTTAACAAAAGCATTATCGGTAGATGTACATTTTTAAAGACTAAGGATATCAAAAGTTAGGTATAATTTTTTGGCAATAAATTTTATTGTTAATAATTTTAAAATATTTGTACTATTAACCATTTCTATTCAAATTAACTTACTTAAATTATTTCTCAGATACTATTGTTATGCTTGCTTAATATTTATTTTTGTATTGAAACTTAATTTTCTGTAACACTTATATAGAAAAGGATAGAAATATATTTTCATCTCTTTCATACATTCCTCATAATTGAATTTAAATGTCTGAAGATTTTCAATGTAATATTGCCATTTTTTAAAAATTCCTATCTGTTTTTATTGCATGATTCAAGGTTTATTTTTTGATTTATTTTTTTATATTGAAGTATGGATATTTTTGTTTTAAATTTTCATATGGCTTTTGTAGTTTTTTTCTTATTGACTGAATAATTTCAGTATATTATGTGTCAACTGAAACATTGTTTATTGTGACGAAAACTGTTTATTCAAAAATTTGTCAAGATACAAAACCTTTTTTTTATATGAAGAGTTACAAGTATAGAATGTTCTTACATATTTTTTGGTCGTCTATTATGTACATATACATATATATACAGGGTGTTCTAAAAACTGTGTCAACCCTTAAAGGCATGTATACATATAAGTATAAGCTTTTTATAAAAAATAGTATAACTTAAAAAATATCAAGCAGAGGTCAGTTACAGTGCATAGGTTAAATAAATTTTAAATCAACATTTTTTGAAAAAATGTTCCAAACATCTGATCCATACAAGGTCAAGACACCGTATGGTCGCGACGCCGCATGCGTGGCCAATGACCGCAGGCGCCGGGCCGCCGGCGTTATTATTACTATTTTGTTAGTTGTTCGAATAGAGATTTGAAAGTGTAAAAATTAGTTATATCGATAAATATTCTATCGACATTTTCAATATTGTTATAAATAGTTATGCTTTTCACATTAAAATAATTTTATTTAAAATAACTTTTTTTAATAATAAATATTATAATTTGGAACTTCTTCAGGTAAATTAACTATGTTGTATTATTAGGATAAATCGTTAATCTATTTATGGTGTTTGGTTTGGTGTTATAAATGGTGTTTTAAAATCAAAAATAATATTAATGTTTGATATATCAAAATAAGTATCGAAATAATATGAATATTAAATATTTATTTATTGTTATGATTTTTTAAATATCGATATTTTCAATAATGTGAAAGGAACTTCAAGGTCGTCACTAGTAGCGCAGCAGGTGTGATGACGTCATTGAGTGTCATCGTGTTATACCAGGGCTTACAAACATTTTGTTACTCTACATTTAATATGTAATCATTTAATATTTAATTTTATTATTTTTATTGAAGAGTTTGTAAATGTACATTGTTTGATTGTGTTCCATTTTCGATACTGATAACGCAGTAAAGGGGGTTGACACAGTTTTTCATACACCCTGTATATATACATGCACATGTATATGTATGTATATGGTTTCCAACCTTTTTTACATTTGAAAACTGTCAGAATTTAAGAGGTAAACTTTTCAACAAATTTCTATGGTTAGACTTGGTGCATAAAAATAAATAAATTTGCATTTCTCCTTTGAAATACACGAATATACCTTTAATATATTATTTTGGAACAAATATGAATTTTATAATATGTTTGACCAAAGAAATTTTGGCATAAAAGGCCTATGTGTATAGAAATTTGGTGTTTGAAAGTGTTGATACTTGATTGGTTTAAGAATATTGTAATTATATTATTAAATTCGGTTCAGTTGTGAGACTAGTGTTACTTCGCGTCTTCTCTTAAGCTTGGTCTGTGATAGTAGACTGGTATGAGTATGAGCTCTTGTTAATATCCCATTTAAACAACTTCTGATCCGTAGAACATATTTAGTTTTAAGGCTGTTTCTATAATAAAGATGTCTAATATAGAAGACGTTTCATTTTTGTGATATTTTTCTATGAATATGACGAAGGATTTGTTTATTTTTATTTATATTAAGAAACAGACATGTAGGAAAAATATTAGAATTTAATTGTGAAACTTAGGTGAAAAGCTTAATAATTCTTATGTGAATTCATCTACATTTATCAAAATTGGTAAAAATTCAGGTAGCAATCTTATAACCGTTATAAGTGAACCTAATAAATTTATTTTATTTTTTATAAGAAAGGAAGCTCTTGCAAGTATAAAATAAACATTTAACACTTTTTTATGTCGAAGGTAGTAAACGAGCAGACGGCCTACTTTATGGATGCTAGTAATAATATTTGCAACATAAGGGATGTTGTAGATGCGTTGCTGACCTTGATTGTCTTGTAAGGAGGAAAGGGAGGGAATAGGGAGAGTTCAGGAAAGGAACAGGAAACGGGCAACCGGCTCTCTCACTCATCGGACAAAAAAGAGCCACTAAACGCTCCTTCACGTAGATCTTCTGTGAGAGGGTGATACTTCCCCATCGCGCCAGCCCATGTTCGAACTGTAGTAACTAAATTACAGCTAGGGATTTACCTCTCATAAACTCTTTCTTTAAAATGAAAGGTGATAATAGTAACTGGAAACCTTTTGCTGATTTTTTCACTTACATACTTCAGTATAATCAACGTGGGACCATCGTAAAATTAACTTGTCTGAATGCATATATTTTTAGTGTTTTCAATATTTTTTTTTATGAAGTGAATATTACTTTACTGATTTTTAATCACATATATAACCTGGAAACGAGATTGTAACAAGATGTTGTGGTGTTGCTGAATTCCTATTTTGTGCGTTTTGTTCAGAAGAGTTACGAGGGCCCTACAAAGATGACCCATGCTCTGTACCAAGATAAGATTATAGAGATAGTTTGATATGCATTCATGGAATAAGTTTAGGGGGATTTCCTGATTTTATAGAAATGGCGAAAGTTGATCCTATTTTAAGATATGACCTTTGAATGTTTTTAGTTTATTATACTGTTTCAACGATATTAATATTTGTTTCCTTTTTTGGTTGCGGTCTAACTTGTGATGGAATTGCATGCTACGACAATTTTGTTTATGGACAGCATTTATAACCATTGATTTTTTTCAACATCAAAGAAGTAGCAGGATCTAAGTGATATTAAGTCGTCTGTGGGCATTTGTAATTTGTCCCTGGCCTTGCTTATGGTTAAGGGGAGAACCTGTACATTTGAATTTTGCATATAATTGCTCTTATTGATAACAGTAATGATATTCAATAATAATCTTTATTGTATTAGTACCCTGAAATAAAAAATATAAGAATTATAGTACATAATGTACAATCTCAGCGGCCTTATCACTAAAAAGCGATATCGGAGAAGGAACAAGAGAGAGTATAATATTATCTTATATACATATTTAAATATTGTATATATATTTATAATTTGAATCTCGGATTCGGCTCAAACAATTTTCATGAGGTTTAGTGTAAAGGGGTTCTCGGGGGCGATAAATCGATTTAGCTAGGAAATATTTTTGGAAAATTGAAAAAAATAATTACAAAAAGGAGGCGTTTGAGTAGTCCCAATTTAAAATATGACTAATCCTGACATCTATTGGCGAATAATAATACCACTTTTTGCTATTTGCTTTTACTAATTGCTTTAACGACATAACAGCAGATGGCGTTGTTAGGTAACAAGTGTTTGTTTTGAGATTAGACTACGAAATTAATTGTTGATTTGTATTGTTTTGAGTCTCCTTAACGTGTTCACTTAAAAAATTCCTATTTGAAAAAAAAAAAAACACAAAATAAATAGTAATAATTCCTAAATACCGAGCAAAGCTCGGTAACCGGATGATAAACATAATATGAGACATTTGGTGGGCGTATATCTATATAAAAGAAAACATAATAATAACACAAATGAGAATATGTATGAAATAATGATTTAAATACAAATAATACACAAAGAATTTTATAAAGATAGTGGTGGAAGGATCAGTGAGATTTGATAACTGATATATCTGAAGACCCTGAGCATGTAGATGGTAAAAAGAAGTAGGTAATACTTGTGCAAAGAGTTGATAAACACTGAAAATTAAAAAGGAGAATCATCATCATCACGCCCCCTTGCGAAACACCAGCTTTCACTTGTGTGAAACTTTCACTAGAGTTGTCTCTAGCCTGAATACACCTAATTCAAACAACTATGAAACCAGCTAATGGCTAAAGGAGATGTGTCGAGGGTATACAATATTGTAAGCAAGATATCAAAGTCCATAATATTTAAGGATTGCTGCAATGAAACAATATTAATACCGTAACATGTCCGCGGTATTCAGTAATTTTAACCAGAGCAGTCGTCATATAA